TGTCAGAATATCACTATGCAGTGTATTCTCAAAAAGAGACTGTTTTTTTCAAACTTGCTGGGCTTGGTGCATTCTCGTGCATTCCCACTGACAATACACCAAGCCCAGCAAGTGTATTCTCACTGACAACACACGAGAATATACCAGAATACGCAAATATATAAATTTCTATAAAATGTGCTGGGCTTGGTGAATTCTCACTGACAATACGCAAATGTTGCATAGTGATTCACTCTCATGCTGCATTCATTGTTAGTGAGAATACGCCAAGCCCAGCAAACTCAGCAAATAGTGTCTTTTTGAGAATACACTGCGTACTGATATTCTGACATCTCTGCAAAATATTTTATCTTTGGAGAATCTATGAATATATCTTTTTCAACAGATGGAGAAAACTCAAAGTAGAGCGAAAACGAGAATTGGCCATGCATTTACTCCCACTGTCATCGCCAGAAGAGAAAGACGTAAAGCTATTGTAGTGAAAAAGAGACCATCTAAAAGTTGTCTCACTAAGGTGGCGGTAGCGCCAAGGGTTTTGGCGTTTTCGAGGAGTTAGCAATATTTTGCGTTTTGCTCTAGGAAAACTCGGTCAAACTGAAAAAACAGGGTCAGATTCGTGATCACCAAATAAAACTGCATCTACTATCTGCTTCAAAATAGAATGCAGTCCGATATTTTTTTAATAACTTTTGAACTGACAGAGCTAGCGAGTTGCCGATTTCAGTTTTATGTACTAGACACCGGGGCACATATATCTATAGAAAAATAGAGTCTCTCAATAAGATTTACCATGGTAAGCCTTTCAAAGCAAAATGCCCGACATTGCCATTCTTAGAACTTACATAGTAACCTATACTCAAAAACTCTCTGACATATAGAAGAAACTTAGTTCTGTCCAATGGCACAAGTCTCAACCTTCGATCTCTGATGGTATGGGAGCTGCATGCATTCTCCGAGGATCTTTCTATTCCCAAGCTGAGAAGTCTGGAAATCTAACAAATACTTGAAACATAGGTAATCAACTATGCTGATCATCGTGGCAATGTTTATTTTTGTCTCCAGATTGAACGGAGTTTATCTGAGAGGTTTTTCTCGAAAACCGAGTTGTCCCTATTTTCATGTAAACTTCAAATAGTTATAACTCATTCATTTTTGATCGAAACTGACTCAACATTTCAGCAAATACGTAGTTTTTGACCGAAAAAATTGCAGAACGAGTAATAGAGCTACAAAACCAGTTTTTAGATCCTTGGTTATGCGGAAGGTCTCTAGAAATCCTTCAGTCCCTTAGTGGAGCAGAGCGAGTTTTCCCGTCTTGATTGGTATTAGACGAAGAGGGATGAGTGTCTCCTGAAATGTTGGATCAGTTTCGATCAAAAATGAATGCGTTATAACTATTTGAAGTTTACATGAAAATAGGGACAACTCGGTTTTCGAGAAAAACCTCTCAGATAAACTCCGTTCAATCTGGAGACAAAAATAAACATTGCCACGATGATCAGCATAATTGATTACCTATGTTTCAAGTATTTGTTAGATTTCTAGACTTGTCAGCTTGGGGATAGAAAGGTCCTCGGGGAATGCATGTAGCTCCTTGTAGCTCTAGTTATCGCGTCTTCGCTCTCACTTTTTGTTTCCTTTTTTTCATTGCACTCATTTTCTTTTTTCGTTTTTTCAAATCACGCAAACTAAAGACGTTTTTAATCACAGAAAGTTCATTTTTTCTCCGCGAAAACGCGATGTTTTTCCACCAAAACTCGATGTTTTCCGAAAAGAAGTTCCTTCCTTATCCTCCAAAACCCCATGTTTTTTAAATTATTAGCACCGGGCGCTGAACTTTAATTGAAATGAACTTGTTCTGGAGATCGAATTGAGGAGAGGATGAGCGTGAGATCAAAAAAGATCGAACACTCACAATCACCTCAAAAACGGGATGTTTTTCGGGAACAACTTCGTTGCTTCTCTTCAGAAATTCGATTTTCGGCGACAAGACGTTTTTTATCACACAAAGTTCATTTTTATCCGCGGAAACCCGATGTTTTTCCACCAAAACGTCATCTGTTCACCTCAAAAACTCGATGTTGTCCCAAAAGAAGTTTCTTCCTTATCCTCCAAGACCCCATGTTTTTTGAACCGTCTTCTTATGCACAAATATCAACTTCCTCATGAAAAATACGAAATTTTTCTGAAGAAACAAGTTTTTGTCGTAAAACGACGAAGTTCATGCGAGAAAATATCGAGTTTTTCACGAAAAAGACGAAGTTCCTGTGAAGAAACATCAACATCGAGTTGTTGAGAAGAAGTCATCAAGTTGTGGTAGGAAAACATCGAACTTTTCAGGTGAGCAGATGAAGTTTTGGTGGAAAAATCTTGGCTTGTCGAGGAAAAGAATTTCGTATGTTCGAACACCTTTTAGTTTTCTAATTTCTTGCTCATACGTGAAGGACATTCGAAAAGTCTTCTGTGGTTTGTTCTCCCTGCTCCGCGGAGGACGTAGGATAGAAGGTAGTGTATCTCTCAAAAGTAATGTTATTTACACCTTTCGATTCGCATTTTTGATACATTGGGTAATTCTATCATGGCATCGCACTATGTATATTTCCTTTAATTTCTACCCCATCTCAACAAAAATGAGAGACTAGAAACACTATGACTGGGTTAGTATGAGGGGTGTTAAAACTTTAACATCTTGGCTAACTTGTTGTGTATAATATATATATCAATCGATGTGCGTAGGTATAAATACGACTATCATTCCTCTCCAAACATACGTACGTTGAATCTATTTATCCTTCGCATATACACAAACTTTCTAGATATTTATCTTTACATCATGCTATGACTTGTTAGGTATCCTACACATTGGTTCCAGGTAGTTAGGTGTTCATCCTCTCTAGATATTTATCGATTCCAGTTATTCATCCTGTCCAGATATTCGTTCTTTCTAGATATTCATGCTCGCCAAACCTTTCAAGATTGATACTGTTTTGTGTTTTGCCAATTGAATATTGAACCATATAACTTTTCTTTTTCTCATTTCCAAATGTTCATCACCTCAGCCCTTTCATCGCTACCTAGGCCGAAGAATCTTGAAATATGATCTTGTAAGATCATATTACAAGATTTCACAAGATCTCACAAGATCATATGAAAATCTTACAATATCAATCTCACCAGATAAAAAAAATTCCAGTGCGCACCGGTGCGCATGGCGTGCCCTCGATCACTGGCACTGGCTGGCATCGGTGCGCACCCGTGCCCAGCAAGTGCCGAACCAGTGCCGATATAGTTCTGCCAAAAAAAGTGCCGCACTGGTAAAAATCAGATTTATTTAAAAAGGACGGGGGACGATAAGACCGCAAGTCGGCCCACTACCAAATCCATTATGCAGTAACTCATTTGATGCAGTTTTTCTTGCCCATTAAACCTATCATATTTTTAGGCAATCAAAATTCTTTCCAACGCCCCTGGAAGCCTTTCGCCAACCTAAAACCTTCTTGCTTTAAATGAAATTGCCCAAAGCAATTTAATTCGCCTAACTCTTTCCCCTACAGGAAGTATCAACTAGTATACATCCCTCGATAGAGAATTTCACGGGCTACAAAATGATATATGAGATATTGTTAAGAAGCTGTGTCCGAGTAGTCCAAGGTTGGAAATACTCGTCAGCAACTCACCAAACGGGCGGGTCAAGGTCATTGATGGCAAAAATTCTCCGTTATTCGGTCATTAACCAGTCCATTTCGTACACCATTCGATAGAGAATTTCAGGGGCTACAAAACAGTCTAGAGACACTCCCGCTTTCCTAAGTTTATGTCGAGATCTACGTACATCCATGGATGTTATTCTTGGCAATCCCACTACCGCACCTCCAAACCCCCTGATAATGCAGACCTGGTAACTCAAGTTACCGAGCACGTCTTATTCAAGATCTCAAGCATGCACATCAAATAGCCGAAGAAGTTCAAAAAGCTATTCAAAAAAACGCGTTAGAGTGCGTTTAAGTTTCATATAAACTAACGCCTTTAGGAGGATGTTTTTTGTCACATTCAGGACGTCCAAACGCGTTACTGATCAACGCATTTCACAGCGTCTATAATCAACGCGTTAAAGCGCGTTATAATTTAACGCGTTTGAACGCCCGAAATGTGACAAAAAGCATCCTGCTAAATGCGTTAAATTTTTAAATTTGAAAAAATCAAAAAGTAAATTCAGATCAGCTGACGTGTACAGATAGTCTCCATGCTTTCACACGGCCGTCAAGGTTCACAAGTTAAGGAAGATAGAAACTAAACTTAACGACTTAATCTGGTGTGACGATGATTCGAACCTGGATACCTACAATTAAGAAGCAAGCATAGAACAGGCTGAAAAAAAGATGCTCTGTAATCAGAGAAAAAAAGATGAAAAAAAAGATGAATTGTATCATCAGTACGTGTTTCGACCATCGACAGCTTACTTAGAAAATGTTATTTTTTGTTTGCTTGCTTGCGCCTTCATTCTAGGTCCCGAGCAGCTGTTTTTTATTCTTGTCTGCAGAGATCTTTCCCTTTGCTCGAAGTAAAATAGCCTTAAAATCACTTTGGATTTTCCGAATTAGTGACTGGGAGGCTAGAATGAAAGTAACCCATAGGTAAAAGAGCAACGAAACTCAGTAACTCCTTTCATTCGAGCCTCCCAGTCACTAATTCGGAAAATCAAAAGTGATTTTAAGCCTATTTTACTTGGAGCAAAATGAAAGATATTACTTAGTTTCGTTACTCTTTTACCAATAGGTTCAGTTCCAAAATTGAAGATGCCTGCGAAAGTTCGAAAACAGTCGAATTTCGAGGTCTTGTGCATCTTTATCTTTAGGTAAACTGCTCACAGACTGAATGACCTGAAACTTGGCTACGAGAAGAATTTCACATTTACACTATGTCAACAATGGAAAAGTGAAGTATGTAAAAGCAGAAGATACTTGAGGACTTGTACTACGTGGAGAGCGCCGTATAAGGTTATGAATCGGCCCACTCACTGTTTTGAGTAAAAGTGGATCCATATGTAGTAAAACAGTGCCTCTGTTTCGTTGTCGGTAAAATCAAATACTTCTGTCAGGTAAAACCTGGTTAATTCCTGAAGAATAGCATCTCAATAAGCAGTGTTAAAAAGCCACCATATGATGAGTACAACAAATTTTCCTCAACTACCTTACACTGAAATAGCAAACTAAACACAGTATTAGATAGCCCGTAAAATTCTCTACAAACTGAGCTACTCAGAAAATCTTCACTGGTAAGACCAGTCATCAAAGACATACAAAACAAACATTCGAGGGCAGAAAACAGCTCTAAAATACTCCTTTCGTAATTTTTTCTGTCATAATGATAAACCAGCTGTAATTCAACAGCAAGTGACAGATGATTCAAGTTCACTAGCTATGGCTCTTCGTCAGCATTATCGACAACCTTTAAACGATCTGTTACAAAAAGAATGCAAAATCACAGATAAGTTCAATCTTTTTGAGATTGCATTGAACTGTGTTGTTCAGGATGGCTGGTGGAAGGGACTAAATGATCAAAAAGTCAAGGACTTGATTTCACCAAAGAAGTTTGCTCCTTGTTGCAGAAATTAAAAAGCTATGTGAACGATAACCATTTATCACTACCTGAAGTTGCAAACCCCGCTGAAATTGTTCTTTCTGAAAACCCTGATCGACCACCGGTGCTTCCTTCTGCCGAACTTGTCAATCCACTATCAGTGATTCCTGCACCAACACCCGCTCCTCAGTTAAAACCATCTGAAATCTTCGTACCACAACCTCAACCGCCTCCTCCTCCACCACAGCAACAGATACTAAACAGAGGTAATAGATTTTCAACGATAAAGGCAGAAGCTTCGAGTTTGCGAGGGTTTTTTACTTTTCTCACAAAGCAAATAATAAATTTATCGTCCAGATCTGTAGTTGCAAAAAAACTGAACGGTTCGATTTATTTCTATCTGAACCGAGTAAATTCTTTTGACGCCCTCAAATGGCTAGAATTTGTCACGCTTAAAAATACTTCCCTATTTCTATTTCTAGGTTTGGAAGAAGAAAAACCGCTTGAAGAAATAAGCTTAATTTTCCCGTCTGTTGATGAAAGTGAAAAGATGCGTCTACCCAATTTAGTTCAAGCTGGAGAACTGATGTATATCAATAAAAAACGAGATGATATCCTATCGACGATCGTCCGAGATTTTTGTACTAAAAAACATTTTCTATTATTCGTCGAAGAATGTTTAATCCCACTGATGTATCTACTGAAACGACACCAGAATCTAGATGATTTTATGGAAGCACTCTCGTTTAAATTATCACAAGTGTTTGGTCTTTCCGCAGAAACAGTTCCAAAAATCAGTTTACGAATGCTGATACACGTCCTATTAATGAAATCAGATTTATCCATGAGGCGTATGATAATGTCTTTACTATGTAAACGAAATCCAGTTCCATTCATTGCACCAACAAATGACGTACAACAGCAACAACAATATCAGGTTGTACCGGAAATTTTTCACATATGGGATTATGATACACCGACATTTTTATCGTTTGGCATCGGTCCATGTTCCGGTAAATCAACATTGTTGAATGCATTGTTCATGTCGACCTTTGAACAGTCATCACAAACCGTTTATTTCCAACAGACAATTGATATTGATTTTGGTTACAGTTTTCTACCATCGCGATCAATGAACATAGCAGATGCACACGGACAAATGACAAAACAATTGCTGTATAAAATACATGAATTGTTCGAGGGTTTTCTTATCCATGTTGATTATGCTTATCTCGAAAATAACGTTGAAACTGTATTGGATTTTATCAGTGAGTTACCATCTTCGAAATTTCGTCTACTTATTGTTCGCGATCTACAGAGTCACCTTGGTGAACGCTATTCAAAATTGTTATTAACACGTTTTTCTACGTCATTGGTTCAACAGTATGCATTAAAACACATTGCCGATCACAATAATACACAGAATAAACATTTAATTAGAATGTTACGTGATATAATTCTAAATGATGCTCCATCTACATTTAGACATGATAAAGATTTTGTTAAAAGTGCACTAAAGCGTATTATCGGTAATGACTATAAACAACATCTGTCAAAAATGTATGAAACAATTATACCGTTAGAACGGAAATTACTGCAACTAGTTGAAGATGAAACGAAAATTGTTGAATACTTTCCAGAATATTCAAATTTTGAAAATTTATGTAAATTACAACAAAAGTTATTGAAACTGAATTTTTACGGAGAAAATGACATTAGTACGTCAAGATATTACTGAACGACGACAAAAACAGGGTTTAACAACGGGCGGTGTCATTTACGATTTATTTGTTGAAATGTTAAAAACTTCGGATGCGCTCATGTGCTTAAACTTGTTATCAATAGAGCTGAAGGAACAACGAAATCGTGTAGTATCAACTGGCGAACAAGCTAATCAACTACCAATACAGAAAAAGTTGTCGTTGGAATTATTATGGCGAAATGCTATAGTCTGCAGGCAGAGTCACCCATCGGATGATGATAACGAGAGTATAGAAAGACTTATTGTTCAACGGTACTTTGAATATATCAGAGCAGGATTTCCATTTGAAATCATTGATGGTGATAATTATTATTTTCCACATTCATTTCTAGCAAAAGCCTTATCTAACTTTCGTAACAAGAGAATTTTAGTAATCAGTGTTATTGGACCACAAAATTCAGGGAAAAGTACTTTACTCAATTATATGTTTGGCACATTTTTCGATGTCAGAGACGGCCGTTGTACTCGAGGTATTTACGGTTCATTTGTTAAATCAAATCGTCGAGACTTTGATTATATTATGATCATAGATACAGAAGGTTTATTAGGTGTGGAACGTGAAGATAAAGAATTTGATCGTCGATTAGTGCTATTCTGTTTAGCAGTGTCACATTTAGTTATCGTGAATATGATTGGTGAAGTCAATGAAAGTTTAAAAACAATGTTAACATTATGTGCCGACTCTCTGAAACAGATGAATGTCAATCGTGTTCCACAACCAACTGTACATTTCATTTTGAATCAAAAAGCTGATTTAAATATCCAAAATAATCAAGCAGCTATTGATAAAATTATAGCCGATTTAAAAAGTTTTGATTTAAGCGGGATGATCGATATCAAACCTGAAACATTTCATACACTGCCTAATGCATTCAAGAAAGAGCGTGGTCCATTAAACGACACCAATCTTCCATGTTTAATTAAAACTGAACCAGATTTCATTGAGTTAGTTCAACTTTTATGCGGTAAAATTGTTAATTCAGCCTTAGCATGTTTATCAAGATCCTCTGAACAATTTACCGATCCCCTACACTGGCTCCAGTCTGCAATCACAGTATTTGATACATTGCAAAAATTTGCAGATCTCACGTATTATCGAGATATCGATGAACGTCGCCAGGATTATGAAATACGCGAATATATAAGTGCAAAACTAGCAGAAGAATTTTCTTCACCGTACCGTGATCAGATTACTGCTGAATCGGTCAATAAAAATGAACGACAAATTGAAGAAATGCTCATACCCGAAATGGAAAAGAAACAAAAGGATCTGAATGAAGATTTAGAGAAACATTTGAAATCAACTAAAACATCTGATACAATTCGTAAAAGATGTAAACAATTTCTACTAGCACAAATTATTGAACAGTTTAATGCATTACGAACAACGTGTAAAATGGTGAGTGAAAGAGCACAAGTCCAACTGTTAGTGCAGAGTGGTACAGGTGACTTAAAACAGTTGATTGAAGATATTATTGCAAAAGGTACACACATGTCTGAACAGTCAGCATCAGAAGTTTTTGATCATATGTACAACAGTATTATTAAAAATATTAAAAAAAATTTTGATCAAAATGAAAGGGTGACTTTGGCTCTGAGACATATCTACAGTATCTATTGTATTTATGAAAAAAATTGTTTACCAGATTATAACAGCGGCGTACTGAATCATCTGCCTTGGCTACAACATCTTACTAGTGAAGTGCAGGAAGAGTATATTCTGGATGAATTGGCAGTTCTTTTCACTCAAGTTGCGTATGAATACCCGCTGGTAGAAGAACATACATTCACACCTGATGCAATGAATCCCTATTCCACAAAGGTAATCGAAGATTTGGTTCATCTAAACCAGAAGCTATTAAAACACCGATTTAAACAGTTTTTGGCATCCAATTCAATAACTGAACCAACTCAAAAAGAGCTCAGCACCCTACGCTATGTTTTAAATGCGATAAAAAACCAGGTCGTAACGAGCAAAGAAGAAAAGTATACTGCTGCAACTAAAAATTTTCTATGTCTTATTAGAAAAGATATCAAACATGAGTGGAAAAGTGTTTCGAAAGATCGAAGTATCGTGTCAGATGATGATTCACATGTACAACTACACATACAAGCGTCTAAACTTCTTCGAAATGTTATTCAATCAATTGTTAAAGCTACACGTGGGAATACTGCAGATGAAACACGACAGATTCAGACTGATCTAATACAAAAAATAGTTGGTGTTATCAGTACTCTAATCAAGGATATTAACTTGGAACTGAGTCCATTTTGTTTATCACTGAACAAACCCCTAAAATCGACGTTTCATATATGTGCCATTGTCCTGTTAACAAAATATTACTATAATGAACAGGAAAATCATTTTCTGCAAACATTAAATACATTGAACAACACAAAAGACCATTTAAAATCTTATTTCATTACAATGGTTGTTTTAAACATCTCAAACGATTCCAACGGTGCAGTCAGTTTATGTAAACAACTGAAAGATTATATGTTGAAAAGTTTCGTCGACAAAGGACAAAAAAGTATTAATTCTGAATTGAGAAAATACGATAATTTGAACCGTAAATGGGTACAAGATCGATGTGACGGAGAGTTGCTTTCAGCAGAAAAAAAATGGTTTATGGATTATATTGAAAATCCGACAAAAGTTATTGAACAGTCGTTTAATGATACATGGAATAATATCAAACAATCAATAAACCAAAATTTAATACAGCTGAAAATGTACCATATCGAGGCATTAGTGAATTTTTTTTACTGTATACAAGGTTAGATATTTCTTAACTGAATATTGAAAGTATGCCACCTACAGTAGACCAGATGAAATGACCCAACAAAGAAGGTGGGAATAGTCATTCTGACTAGCGTCGCGCTTTTAAAGCATCAAATTCAACAGAAGCTGCATACGACTAAGGATGTGACAGTGACAATCAGCTATACAAGAGCATGTACTGTGGCCGGTTTGCCGAGAAACATCAAAAGCTTCCTTGCGTTTTTCGGCTCCACTGCGTCCGGATGCCAGATGAAACTGTTTAAATATTAATTGGCACGTAGTCAGAATGTGTTAGATATTGCGAACTTGTCAGTATTTGTAAACCAATTTCCTTCCTATCAGATAGGCTTTCCAGCACTTCCAAAGGAAATAGGAATCCACTAATCTGAGCCTTCAAAAAGCCTATAGTCAGACATTTGGTGTTATTCTTATTAAAACTAAGATGTTGTTCGAATACTCGCTTTTGCCAGTTCACGGGCGCGTATTTTTGATGCACTACACAGTCTAGAACCGCGCAACTGTGCCGTGTTCCGAAGGGCACGACACAAGACAGAATCTATACATAAATTAATTTTTATATTATAGGACTATACGATTCTATCAAAGTCAAAGGCCGAGCCACAAAATTTGTAGATGATATTTTTCAACCTACAGGAAATAATTCCTTAAATGTGCAACAAAATTTTAATAACAAACGACGCTGTATGGCAATGCTATTATTTGACTATCTTTCTGGTCAAACCATTCCTTCATTATATACAAGTTTCGAGTGCCGATACAAACTAAAGGACGACACCCAGCATGCCTTTGCTATGTTAGCGCAACTGTATAAACCAGATATCAAGTTAATGGAAATTACAAAAGCTATGACAACTGTTTATCATAGCTGTACGATCGACAATTTATCGGCATTTTTACACTGTGTGTTACAAGAAAAAGGCGCAATGCTGACCGAGTTCGGTACGCAGAAATGTGATTTTGATACAATTGATACGCAGGACACCTATGCCCGACTGTTAGACAAAATTCGCGGATGTCCAGATCGATGTCCATGTTGTCAAAGGCCGTGCGATGTTGATCATACATTGATAAAATCCAATCCAGGATCGGAAAGTAATAAACGTCGTTGTGCTACAGGGCATGCGCTAAGAGCGATGAATGGCTATAAATTTGAAGAAACCGATGAAGCTTCATTATTTATGTGTGAACAGATAAAAGACGGTCAAACTATTGTTGTTGGTTCTCTACGAAAAAGATGGTCGCAGTTTAAATTAGATCATCGCGATTGAATCTTCGAATCTTTATTGACGGATGGTGAATTAGCACGATTGAATCAAAAATTTTTGTCTATATGGGCAAAGATTGGTCGGGATTTATGTCAAAAATATGGAATGAAATTTGTTACCTACAATACGCAGCGAATTAATGTACCGGAATCATAT